TTCCTGCACCATAACCATTGTGCTCAGCTTGTCAGATGGTTGCGATGCACAATAGCTGACTTAGATGGCAGGCCCCGTGACGTAGGCGCTCTTGCCTTGCTCCTCGCACAGTCTGTGAGCAAGGTGCTGTTCTCCTTATTTTGAATATGAGGACACGGAGGCTTGCAGAGGCTAAATGTAAACAGCCTGTCCAAGAATTGATTTTGGGTCTGTTTGTGAAGTTCTGAAAGCCCTATGTTACTTTTGCTGGTATGGTAAAACCTGGTGCCCTCTGTGCCCTCAAACTGGCCAAGGCACAGAGGTGGTGGCAGAGAGCAGTGGCAGAGGAAGCCGGGTTTGTGCTTTTCAAAAGGAAGTTATGGAGGTAGAGGAAGGGCTGTGGCCTCCAGGTTACTATTAAATCAAGACCTCCTTGGTTCCACAAAAGCTTTTCTCTCTGTAATCGGTACTCTTGATTCAAGTAAATTTTCCTGGGAGAGGCTACATCTGTCGTACCTCCCTCCTTAGGTCTTTCAAAAAGTGTATCTAAAACATGGTTCCATTTCAAAGAAATATGGCACACCTTTCTGGGAAGCAAAACTCCTTTTTAGCTTTAGGATGGCAAATTTTAGAATACAGCCTCTTAATTGTGGCACTGGAATCCACCACGGGGTCTTCATACCTGCAGGGGCCGCCTGCCAGGACCAGCCTCCCCTCACTTCCCACAGATTCTCAGTCTTCTGGCCTGAGGGATCCCTGGGAGTAGAGGGAGGAAGGGAGGGAAGGCAGAATAAGGGAAAGAGAGGGAGGGAGAGAGGACACATGTGTATGTTTAGAGTTCTGATTCTGAGATGTGGGCCTAGTAATGTTCCTCCACACAATAGGAAGTACACAGTCACCTACAAAGAACTCTCTAACCTGTTTCCGCTGACTCTGAACTCCCAAAACACGATAGAGAACAGCTTAAGTGACATCACGGGGAAATAGGTAAGTCCAGGTTGTTGGGCATATGTTGGAGACCAGGCCTAATATCTTCAAACAGCTGGTAAGGGGAGAAGTGGGAGTGGGTGGGATAGGTTAGGAAGAAAGACTTTTGTCTAGAAACTAACCAGATTTGATGCAGGAGCATCACATTGAGTCATGGTTTTAAGAAAAATCACTCGGAAAATAGGTGGGGATGGGAAATATGGGTACATTGACTACAAGGGGATTATTATCACTTTTCTTTAGTGTTTTAATTTCATGGTGATTATGTAGGAAAATATCCGTATTTTAGGAGGCACATGCTAAAATATTTAGAGATGAAATATTAAGACAGTCTCATTTTCAAATGGCTCAGAAGAAAACTGTATGCTCTAGAACAGTAGAACAGGTAGGAAAAAATGTTAACAGATGTTGAATCTGACTTTGGGGTACATGTGAGTTCATTATCTTTTCTTGTCAACTGAGATCTGTTTGAAATTTTCATTGTAAAGTTAAAAAGAAGACTCCAGGTGACCAGGCGAGCAAGCAAGGTTGTGTCCTTCAAAACCTTGCCCATGGGCTGGCAGAGTGGCTCAGGTGATAAGAACACCTGCCTAGCAAGTGTGAGGCCCTGAGTTCAAACCCCAGTACCGCCAAAAAAAAAAAAATCTTTACTTGTCCTGGCCTTGTTCTCCTGTCGGCTGCCGCTGTCAGGCTGGCAAACATGGGTTGTGCATTGTAGCCTTGTCTTTCCAGTTTTCCTCTGCCTTCTGGGCAGAGGTGAACTTTGCTCCTGATGTCTGTTCCCTTTATCCAGGTAAATCTGCCCAGCAGGCACTGCCTGGTTCTGGCCTCATGTGCACTTTCTTCTCTTCTGACAGTGGGGAGCTATGAAAGATGGAGTCCCATGGTCTAGGGTCCAAAACCCAGCTCAGGTCTCCTCAGCACAGGCGCCCATCTTGTACAATTAGGGCTCTGTGATGAATGTATACAGCGTATGACTTAACACACTCCTCTCTGACTGTGGTTGGAGGTTTCTGTGCAATTCTCCTTTGTCTTTTTTCTTTTATTTGCTAAGAGGCTTTCCATTGTGGCCCTTTGTTCCAACTGTAGTGTTATTTTCTGAAAGTCAGGGTGTGCAGCTTGCCCACAATCATCAGGAATGTGATAGCGAAGTGTCCTATAGTGTATTTAGTGGCCACAGACAACAGGCTTTTATGTGAAGTGGCAGTGAGGGCCTGGTTTTCTGAGCGCTTCTGTCAGAGTAGGAATTACAGTTAATGGCAGTGAGTGCCCCTGCTGGGGAGCACTGTGCCCGTGTCCCTGCGGTTAACAAGGCTGTGTAATGAAGATCTGTTTCCCTTTTGCTAGGGATGTCTCAGCGGGCGCCTGCCTTTCTGCACACACGAACAAACCAGGACCCTTCACAGAACACAGCCCCCTCTAAAAGCCCCTGCTGGCCTTTCTACATTTTCCTTTGTCCTGCCACCCTGAGGACTTTGCTTGGAGCTCCAGGAAGCTGCAGTTTTAGTTAGTTGGTCTTGTCCCTGATAGCAGCAATCAGCAAACTTGTAGGAGAGCCCAAAGTATCTTATCTCCTGCTCCAAAACAACGATGGAGGCCTCACCCCAGCCATTCTGGTGTGGAGTGAACCCTTGGATGGGAGACTGTTTAAGCACAAATGGCGAGAGAACTGTTTTCTGAGCTTAAGCACGTGGGTCCTTAATAGTCCTGCCTTAAAGTTGGCAGTGAAGGTTTGGCTAAGCTCAGTAGGCCCATCTTCCCTGAAGAAAGCTTCTCAGCCTTCCTTTTCAGAAAATGCATCCTACTCACACTCCTGACTGAGTAGAGCTTGCTGGCCAGGACTGAACACTGGCATGGCCATTAAGATACATGTCACATAAGAGGTTGTAGCAGAATCCTGCAGTTCAACAAGGGGACAAATATGTCTATTCACATTGAAAAATCGCCTCAGGTAGAAGAGGGACAGGGCTGGAAGGGGGCTGGTCATAATAGCAACTTGGTTTTCTAGTCACATGGGGAGACTTTACAGAGACCTCTGTTCCTGCTGATTGGCTGGGCTTCCCACCTGTTAGTTCCAAGTACTCAGGAGCCTGGTGAACAGATGCGGCCTCTTAGGGTCTGAGCAAAGACCCTAAAAAAAAAAAAAATGAGTCATCTTGGCTCATTTGCTTATTCTCCCCAAGAACAATCATTTTCATTTATAAGCAATGTCCTCGGAAGCTCTTTGGCATTGGTGACATGTTGGCTATCTTTGGGAGGGAGGGAGAAGCGAGTAGAGAAAGATGGTATGCTCTGACTTACTGCTAAAACCTCTCTTTTTCCAGTTGAGTTTGGCAACTGTTTCAGGCAGTGGGGAGGCAGGGAGTGAGACCACGACACCCACCAGGGAAGCACAGGCCACCCTTCCACCTCTAGCCTGTGCTCAGACTGTCTCTCACTGTGTGCAGCGGCCAGGTCTCAGACCCGCCCCGCGCCTCACTGCTGTAGTTCTCTCAGATCAGGAAGATCTGGAGATGTGAAGGAAGCTGTGGGGAAAGGGAGTTTGTCCACTGGGTACGTGCCGTGCTATGTCCTCCATTCCTCACAGGTGTCTTTGAGGGAGGCATACCCTTACTGGCTCCACGGAGGTGCTAGATGAGGAACCTCACCCATCAGGCAGTGGAAGAGCTTTGGAACCCAGTTCTGAGGGACTCCAAAACTTCCTCAGTAGACCACATCACCTTTCCCTAGGGCACACCACAGCCCATTTTACACAAGCCCTGTGTTCTCAAAATAGCATCCTGAGTAAGGACAGTGATGGGAGGCGTTTCAAACACATCATAGGCTTCATGAGTAGTCCCTGCTCGCTAGGATGCCAGCCAGCAGGCTGAGAGCTGGTGTGTGGTGTAGGAACCGGCATTTTCAGCTTTGGTACCAGGCTTCCTTATTTCCCTACTTCCCTCCTCTTCTGTAACTCCCAACCTCACCCGGCCCAGCATGCCAAGGGGCTCTTTGTAGTTGTGACGGAGTTGACATGACCTCAGTTAATGAGATGGAATCACTCAGAGCAGGGCCATATGCCCAGATGTCAGATGGGGCTGCAGACCAGCCCTGCCAGCTGGATCAGGGTTCAGGCTTCTCTGAAGGAGGGTCAAGCTACTGGGGCAAGGTCCTCTGGTAATGAAGTCATTTGTCCTTGGGAGCAGAATGAGTCTTCTGTGCCATCAGGAACAATGGGTGTGTTGAGTTCCAGACCTGGGGTGAACTGACGTCCAGGCAGGGGCACAGGGGATGAATTGGGACAATTCAAGAGAGGCATTCTTCATGGACAAGTTTCTGTTGTCAACAAGTAGACTCGGTTGTAATGATACTTAGTCAACGATCATTAATGCCTCTGTTTTGAATAATTTTCCCAAGTAAGAAGTCATGAACTCTTCTTTTGAGGGATTTTTTTTTCCTGTTTTAATTAGTACAAATTATTTTGTCTCAAATACTGTAAGAAATGGGAGAAAAAATAAGTTTGGGTGGCAATGTTTCCTTTTACTCAAGAGCAAATACTCTTATGTCTCTGCTAGTAGTGTGACTTCCAGACAGGTGTTGGGCACTGTTCCCCTCCACTGTTGAGCAAAAGGTTCTGGTGCGAGTTTTTGAGAACTTACCTGATACAGGGCAGCAGCCAGAAGATCTGTAGACCTTAGAAAAGGCAGCCAAACCACTGACAGTACACTGCGGTCATCCCAGGTCCTTCTGGGTCTGTACAAGCTAAGGGAGCGGGTGACACGTAGTGGGTGCCCCTGCGGTGGGTACAGGTACCGCCCCTCCTCCTGCTGGCACGGTCACCCACCGCCGCGGCCGGGGAGGACTGGCGGGGCGGAGGCTGTGCGGACACGGTGAGCGCGCGCGGGCCGGAAGGTTGGGACCGCGGGAAGGTTGGGGCGTCCCGCGCGCTGGCTGCCCGCCCCGGGCGTGGGGGCGTGGGGGCGGGGCGGCGTGGGGGCGGGGCCTGGCCAGCAGCTCACGCCCTCCCCTCGCTCCTCTGCCCTAGGTGAGGCCGCCGCGGGGCCGCTGCCGCCCGCCCGACGACCAGACGCGGTGTCGCTCTGCATGCATGCCGCCCGCCCTGGACCGCGCAGCTGCCGCCGCCGGCCGCGGGAGTGACCGAGCCCTGCCGCGACTTCTTTCCCAGGCCGCCGGAGCTGCCTGCCGCCCTGCCGGCTGGCTTTGCTGATTGACCCCGCGGACTCGTGCGTCTCTGTGTCCACCGCGAACATCAATATGTGTCATGTCATTGTCACCTGCCGCTCGATGCTCTGGACCCTCCTGAGTATCGTGGTGGCCTTTGCCGAGCTGATCGCTTTCATGAGCGCAGACTGGCTGATCGGGAAAGCCAAGAGCCGCAGCGGCGTGGAGCCGGCCGGCGGAGGCCCGTCCGAGCCCTACCACCCCACCCTGGGCATCTACGCGCGCTGCATCCGCAACCCCGGCGTGCAGCACGTGCCGCGGGACACGCTGTGCGGGCCCTACGCCGAGAGCTTCGGCGAGATCGCCAGCGGCTTCTGGCAGGCTACTGCCATCTTCCTGGCGGTGGGCATCTTCATCCTTTGCATGGTGGCCCTGGTGTCGGTCTTCACCATGTGTGTGCAGAGCATCATGAAGAAAAGCATTTTCAACGTCTGCGGGCTCTTGCAAGGAATCGCAGGTAAGGAGCCCGAGTGCGGGAGGCTGCGCTGGGGCGCACCCTGGACTTGCTGGTTTCATCTACTTCCCGCTACTTTTGGAGGAACCTATCAGGTTTCCTTGTTCGCTTGCGGCGTGGGTCCCTTTTCCCCGGGTCACCATCACCCAGCAAGAAGACAGGGTCTTTTCCTCTCGTGGCCCTCCTCGCTGCTTGTCTCCTCCCTGTCTGTGTTGTTGGGGTTGACTTGAGTAACTACTCCTGCCCCCTTGCTTTTCCCGTTAAATACATCCAGGCGAGCTTTCTGTGTCAGTGCCTCTCCCTGAGAAGTTTGGAGAGCGCCCGTCCCACCAGCACCAAGCACTTGGCCAGAGTCCGGTGCTCGGTAGGGGGCAGCCAGCCTGCCTGCCGCCCCAGGATTTCAGCCGTGGGCGGGGAAGACGCTGGGAAGGAATTAGTATCAGCTGCCCTGTGTTTAATGATGTTCTGAGGTCAGCTGTCTCCTGGAGCCCAGCTGAATTGTGTGCGCCCCGATCAGGAAATGCGAGCATACTTCACCTTCTGAGAACCTGTGACTAATGAGCTCCTTGGAATGGGTGGAAAGAAACGTCTGAGCTGTGTGCAACGATCCCTAGGGAGGACTGTGAGCTGCCGGGAATGTTTCGTACCCCCAGCCTTTTTGGGGCTTCCCCAGAGGTCTGAAAGGTGCGTCCGGGGCTAGGACAGCAGCAGTTTGGGCTCAAGGGTCTGTGCCACTGAGTTAGCGACATCCTATGGGAATAGAAAGGATAGACTACTGCCTTGATTTTCAGGGGGAAAAAAAAATACCTTTTTAGCCAAGGTATTTATTAATTCCAACTCCAGCAGGAGAAGCAGGAAGCCAGCACATCCCTGTGGAAGGGCACAGGTGATTCCTTACAGCCACGCAAGAGTCTAGGATGTAGGCCCTTCAATGAAGGTGAGCCTGAAGCGGGCCTCCAGGGCTGCAGAGAACCAGACCCCGGAGCAAACCCTTAAGCTCAGCAGGGCTGGCTTCCAAATAAACAGATCAAATGACAGGGGGTTTTCAGAACAGCTGATAAGATAAAGTTTGCTGGTCCTCAAATCTTAAGGGGCCTTGCTGGTGTGCTTTTGCCACAATGGCCAAGGACCTGCTCTGGGCTCTGATTTGCTTCCCTGGTGGGTGGGTGTGTATGTGATGGGGAGGAGCGGAAGTGTATCCATTCAGACACCAGGGTCCTTAAACTTTGTCCCAAAGTGTTTGTTTCCTTATCTGCCAGAATCAGCCCACATGAATGACCGGCATCCCTAGGCACTCAGAATCAGAGAGGCCAAGATTCTGTTTTTCAGTTTGGCCACTAGCTAGTAGTTCTACTTTACATAGCCACATCACCTCTCTGGAGCTCAACACTCCTCTTCGGAAAAACGGGGAGATTGGGAAATAGGACCGTATCTCAGTTGTTTGTTTTTGTCTTAGAGTACTCGCTCTGTGAAGCTTATTGTCCACCTTTGATTCTCTTCTGAAATCTGTCCCCTCTGGCTTGGCATTGCCCTCCCCCTCCCCCCTCAGAAGTGGTAAATTTGTGCTGATTATCTTTGGTTGGGGAAACGCCCCTACCTTATTCTTGCAGACACAGTGCCTCAGTGTCTCTCTTAAAATCTTTGTGAAATGTTACCAAGGGCTTCTGAAAAGTCAAAACAAACACCTTAATGTGAAGCCAGCACTCACAATTTATTAATCCTGTTGAAGAGCCCTGACTGACCAGAGAGGAGGATTTAACTTTCCCTGCCATGTTGAATTTAAAATCCTCCATGGTTTCTTTCGTGCTTTCATTGTGGGTTTATCAGTTTGCTGGTATGCAGGCAGTGCTTCTGAGAATGCTTTCTGAGAAACTCAGCGGGGGCCTGTCTTCTAACACAGCAGGTGGCCGTACAGCAGGGTCCAACACCAAACCTGTCCTTCACACTCCTCAGCAAAGTAGGGGCATCCTTTGGTCTGAAGACTGTTTACACACAGTTTCTAGTGAAGGGTTAATCTAATGAATTCTGCCTTCACAAATGGGGGTTAATGCAGTGACTCTTTCCTGTTCTTTGCTGCCTCACATACATAGTGGGTTCATTTTTGCACAGGGATCAGTGTGTAGGTCCCAGGTATTCACACATTCCTCTGTCTCTTCCTTCCCGTTTTCTGTCTGCATAAGGCCTCTTGGAGTTGAGGAGAAGTAAGTAAGAGCACACCCAAGGGGCTCATCTGCTAGTCGTCTGTGTCTTCCAAAAGTCTGAGTTTCCTAAAGAAAGTTTTCTTTCCACCTCTGTGACTTAGGCAGCATCTCAAAAATTCTGAGATTACTCACAGTTTTAAATTGGCAGGAGGCAGAGGTTCCTGTCTAGTCACTCTGCTCTCTTGGGGCCACTGATGTAAGGCAAAGCCCTGGTACTGAGGAGGAAGTGGTTTCTGTCCCCGTAGCCTAGCAGCAAGCCTGGGAGGAAAGGCCCCACGAATGATGGGCTCGGCCATTGTTCTCTCGGCCTTCTAGCAGGGCTCAGTGGGCACTTTCCCCCTAGATGGAGGCCCGCTCCATTCAGTTCAAGCGCTGGTCCTGGGATGGACAGCTGAAAAAGTGACCACACCAGAGTACAAAGCAGCCCATGGCTTTCTCTCTCTGATGGCTAGTGCTCGCTAGCACCTGGTCAGTCCAGCCTCAACTGACTTGCAACTGCCAGCACCAGTCTCCCCCTCCCACCACCACCACCACCCAGTCTATTCACATGAAACCAAAGGGGAGAGAGGAGGCTGTTGCCTGAACAGCAGGGGGATTCTTTAGAAGTGCTCTGGGGCTGTGACTCTTCTTACAACTTGCATGTTGGCAAAAATGACATCTTTAAAAAATGTGACTGGATGTAAAATTATGAGATGATGCAAGTATAGTCCATCGTTATACCTCATTTTAAAGAATAAATAGACCATAGGTTTAGATAGCCCTATAAAATATAAATCATTAAAATCTTAATATTTTGGTTTTATTAGTTGGATATGAAAGAATCTTGCCTCAGTGGAAATCCCTATCTTGGTGACTTAAAAAAACAAACAAGCAACAGCAACAACAGAAACCCACCAAAATAAAACTCAATTAACCTACATGGTAGAATTTGCCTTTAAGGCTGGCCCAGACACTTCTAAACACTTGCTCACAGATGCCCTTGGTGTTCAGCATTTACTCTTGTCAGTAATTAAATGTTTAGGCCTAGGGCCAGGCTTGGGGATATAGGCCTGTAATCTCAGCTACTCAAGAGGTAGAGATAGGAAGATCAAGATATGAAGCCAGCCCAGCAAAAAGTTAGCAAGACCTTAGCTCAACAAATAAGCTGGCATGGTGGTATGTGCCTTTAATCCCAACTAGTCGAGAAACAGGAGGCTCTTGGTCCAGCGTCAGCCCAGGCAAAAAGTCGAGACCCTATCTAAAAATAAACCAAAGCAAAGAACCCCAGTACCGAGAGGGAGGGAGGGAGGGAAGGAGAGAGAGAGAGAGAGAGAGAAAGAGGAAGAGAGTGTGTGTGTTTGTGTTTAGGCCTCACCTTAAAGTAGCCATGAAGCATTGACCAGTTTACCTCATTTCTGTAAGCCTCCATTTCATCACTTCTAAAATGATATATAATAGTACATACCTCAGGATTATTTGGGAGATTAATTTAGATCATGTGTGAAAAGCTTGAGCACAGTGATTGGTGCTCAGTAAACAATAGTAACTGTTGATCATTGGTAAAGTATTTCTGCTTTCTTGGCAAGTTTTAGTATACTTCTTTGCTTCCCAGAATTGCTGCAAGAGTAGAATATCTTTAGAGTCTTCAGAATTGACCTTGTTCTCTTCAAATCATGAACTCATTCCCTCCCTTTTGGTAACCTGCTGGAGCCTAGGCTGCCAGATGCAGAGCAGTCCTGGGCTTTGGTGTGACCAGGTGTAACCTCAGGTCATCTTTTGTTTTTTGGGTTTTTTTGGCATCACTGAACTCAGGGCCTTGTGTTCTTACCACTTGAGCCATTCTGCCAGCCCTTTTCTTTTTTTGAAATTAGGGTCTCACAAACTATTTGCCCTGGGGTGGCTTTTAACTACGATCCTTCTGATCTTTGCCTCCTGAGTAGCTAGGATTACAGGCGTGAGCCACCAGTGCCGGCTCCAGATCATCTCTTTAAGTAGCAGAAGATAGCAATAGCGTGGACAGGAAAACAGCCCCCTCCCACTCCTTTTTCTGACACACTCCTCTCCCATCCTTGCTGGCGGCAGCATCCACACTTGAGTCTGACTGCAGGTGGCTTCTCCAACTCCCCTGGCAGCATAAATCTCAGGCTGAGTGACCTTCACTAGGTGAGAGCGTGTCCAGGATTTGGCAGAGCCAGAAACACACATGGGCTCAGATCCCCCTGGGAGTCAATACAAAAGCTGGGTAACTGGCCAGCAGGGTTGGTTTTTGCCAGCTGTCTTCCTTAGGTTGTGACCTAGATGTAATCCATAGTGAAACTGTAGAATGCAAAGCTGGAGTTTTCCATGACAGCATCAAGCAGTTTGTTTTTGGGAAGGCATGGAGGGCTCACTTAGGAGTCTACGGAATCCCCAGTGACTCAGGTTTGGGACCAAAGCCATTCAGATGAGCTCACTTGTGCTGGCAGAGGCTGTTCCACTGGGACTGCCATGAGGGTTGGACTAGCACGCTGGGCCTGGCTGCCTGCTGTCTTCCAGTCTTCCTCATGCCTTGTGGCTCTCACGCTCTCTGCACCGCCCCCCCCCCCAACCGCCGCCAGCTGTCTGCATGGTCCCAGTCCAGCAGGATTGCCTCAACCAGCTGCCCCACCAGTCTGACCAGACAGACTGCTGTGGTCTGCACTCTGCCTCTGCTGGGCTGGAGTGGAGGGTGTGGTCATGGGAACTCTGTGCCATGGCGGCTAGGGGTCTGGCGTGTGCAGGCTCAGCTGTCTTGGAAGTGAGCATCACAGTTGAGGAAGGAAGGCAGTATGTAAAAAGAAAGAA